AGAGATGTCGCCATTCTGCAGATCATAATGTTCAAATGTGCGCATGGCTCTATTATGCTTTCCACATTTTCAACTTCACTTTCTATAGTGGAGAGGGTCACACGCTTATACTCTGATTTTCCTTAAAACGTGGAAACCGCTCTCTGACTCACCAAATTTGTTTGCCATAGAATTAAAACTTGTTCCGACAGATTGAACATCCGCATAATATTCGTTCCATAAGAACATAAGAAGGAGGAAAAAAGGTAAACGAGCACTATAATCTTGAGACGGCGAACAACTCTGCGACTCTCTCCAAACGTCGATGATTTTCCTTGATAAATAAATTTTATTGAACATATAAGCTTCCTGACACAACTGATACAACTAATTCTTTATCGTAACACGTTGAGCTCATCATCCGCTGTGTGGAGGACAACAGCTTGTACAGTCCTCATCATTACGGACTGTCGGGGCGGCACAGCCGCGCTGCAATGTGACGCGACAGCGGCTGCGGCTCGGTGACGGCGAATCAGCTGATTTCCATGGAATTCGGCTGCGAATTCCCACTTTTTCAACTCTTCAAGCTTCGAAAGTGGAAGGTGAGTTATTTTGAGCAATTTTAAATTGTACTGACTCTGAATGAATCTGAAAGAATGTAAGCCATTTGAATAAATGCCTGAAATAAGGCAAAATACAAGGAAAAGAGCATATAATCGACATAAAAATAAAGGAAATCAGAGCCAGTACAATTCAAAATTGTTCAGAATAACTCACCTTCCACTTTAGAAGCTTGAAGAGCTGAAAAAGTGCAGCCGAATTCCATCGAAATCAGCTGATTCACCGTCACCGAGCCGCAGCCGCTGTCGCGTCACAGTGCAGCGCGGCTGTGCCGCCCCGACAGTCCGTAAGGCTGCGTTTATACTTTGCGGCAGCGTAGCGTAGCGCTTCCAGCGTACGCCAGCGGCAGTGTCGGGGAAAGGATAGATATCGATCTAGCGTTCCCAGCGTCACCAGCGTACGCTAGCGTTACGCTAGCGCACGCTAGCGTACGCTGGTGACGCTGGGAACGCTAGATCGATATCTATCCTTTCCCCGACACTGCCGCTGGCGTACGCTGGAAGCGCTACGCTGCCGCAAAGTATAAACGCAGCCTAATGGTGAGAACTGTGTTTCACCTCTGGAGAGACGGGATGGTATTTTTCTGCGAGGACTTTTTTTTGACTGTTGGTTTTTCTCGTCTCGCCACATGCTACACATGATTGTTCAAAGCGGATGCTGGATCATGTCAGGAAGGGGCTGGGTTCAAAGTGAAACCCATCCGTTTCCCGTTTGCCACTTGTCCGCTCCAACATGTGGTTGAGAAAGGGTTGGCGCTGCACGAAACCGTGCCACGACTCAGCATACGCAGCAAATAAGGCTGAAATATCACCCCAACTGGCGGCACCGCAAAACTGCTATTTCTGTTAGCATTTTGTAAATGACCTTTCTCGATCAAGGACAGGGCGCGTGACTAACACTGCGTCTTGAGAAAGAGGTCCGCTTCAGCTGCGGGCCCATTTGCTTAGTGTTCCTTAACCGAATGCTCAGACATTGCTCAAATAAATCAGGAAAAAACGAGCATGACGAGGGCGCTTGACAATTTTATTTGCTTTCTCGTTCTCTCCTCTCCACCGTTCTCCTGACGATCCTGATGGTAATGAGCCACTCTGAAGTCAAACGTAATTGAATCTAGAAGAAGTCAGCCATGTCTCACTCTATTTCCACCATGTTCCAACAGGTTTTTGCGGAGGTTGCGCCTGCTCACTGCCACAGCGCATGAAGGCGCACAAAAAACTTTTTTCTGCGCGACACTGGAGTTTTTTCTGAGCATGCTTGTCGGGTTCGCAATTTGGAAAAAATGTAAAACTGAGTGAAGATGAAGAATTACCTACAGCGCTTAACGGGAAAGTCCACGATCATTCGCCATTATCAGATAGTGGATTAGGGATTTCGTATATAGACAAAAAGGTGCTGAGTAACTCGATAGTGAAGAAAAAGCGGAAAGAAAAACATGTCAACTACCCTAAATAGAAGCCCATTGGTTCCAGTCTATACGTGCCAAATTATCTCCGTCCCCAACACTACACTCCCCCCCCCCTGCACAGATGATTCCTCGATAAAAACTCTACGACCGTACAAATGACGATTTTCATGCTTTTTCGTCCTGCAGCTTCGTTTTTCACTGAAAGGCGGGCCTTGAAGGCGGAGTCTGGAGGCGGAGTCACTGGAAAAAAGGAGGCGTCACTGAACCTATATTGCGCTATAGCGCCCCTCCCTTACAATTTTTTGCCGCAAACCGATACAAGTTGACGTCGCCGACCACAGTACCCTGTCGATGATATATTTTCAGTTTCTATACGACCGTGGCTTTAAAGACAGTTACCATGATTAGGTGATCCGCGAAACGTCTCCGTACTTCTGGCATACACGCATAAGCGTGTACAACCTTCGTCTCACAGAAGGGAGTGACAAAGGTGAAACAGGCGCGTGACTCTTGTGCTTTCCAGTCTGCAAGTGCAAGCAGCGACTCACACGGCCAATTACGCGTATGCAGATTGGTCGTCGTAGGACGATTCACATGCTCGTCATAGAAATTCTCCGCTTTTCAACTCTTTTGGGAGCTTAACGAGTTGTTCTGCTTTGCTTGGGAACGATTTCAAAAACCTTTAGTTGGTAGCAATTCACTCCACTAGGCAAGATGCATTTGGGTGGTACTCTGACTAAGCAGTGTCCAATCGAGTTAGTGCAGTGCATTGATTACCACGGTCCTGAGTTCATGCACATAGATTGTTCGATAACTATGTTCTGTTCCAGTATTTCTATTTATCTCTCTAACATTAGGTTGTATTAGTGGTATTCGGTACTGGATGCAACAAATTCCTCATGAGCCATGGTTTGCACAGAAGCTGCAGGGTGTTGGGTTGGCTGCAAGTTCGGAGAGCTCGCTCAATGGGGCTTTGTGACTTCCAGGATAGCTTCGCTTAGCGTGATGGTATTTCTTTGAGTCTTTGTTAGGTTGGATGGCTCGGGGTCATCGCCTTTCAGTGCCTGAAACAGACGAAAAAAAAACGGAATCGCTCGCTCAAGTCCTCAACCGTTCACAGCATATGATAACGATTAGGAGAGTTATGGCTCACCTTCATCGGCCGCCGCGATGGTCGGAGAGCCTGGGGAGCACTCAACCATGAAGGACTACTACCTAGTTACCGTCCTCGACCTCAGGGGAGTTTGGAATTGCAAAGGTAGAGAAAAGGCGCCAGTTCACGGGTCATGCATGACCACATATTCCTCCTCTCTGTTCGGTGGTCCATCAGGGTGGTCGACCCTTCATCGCGGCGGCTGATCAAGGTAGCCATCACTCAATATATCGATGCCGTAGTATGCTTTACTGGTCTAGTGAGAGTGTCTTGAGGAGTGTCAAGGCGCTTGAGCGAGCAAGCCCCATCTGTTTTTTTTTGTCCATTGCTCTGACGAAGGCGAAGACGGTGAAACCTTTGCCCAATAAAGCCATCCAGTCTTGTCGGTGTAGAAGAAGTACGAGAAGGATAGTTCATTATGCCGAAATCGCAATGAAGTGGCACGTGAGTGTTCCTTTCGTTTTCTTGTTTCCTTTACTACCGGGGTGCCACCTCTCAGCTTCTGGTATATCCCTGAATACACACTACCCATGATACTTGACTGCAGAAATTGTCTTTAACAGAGCATCGAGTGGAGGCGTTTTTGCACATGCGTTTTAGCGCTTCGCCGTTCCGCTCCCACCAGTTTTTCCCAGCATGGTACATGCAGCTCGTTTTAGCGCCGAGCAGCGCCAAAACGAATAATACTTTCCTAGAGATGCCACCAGCTGACTCGGTAAAAAGCAAGACGATTTCTTACTAGGGAAGGTCGTCAGGTCGAAGTGGCCATTTGTAATGAGATGTAGCTCACTAGACGTGGTTTTGGACGCTGATCTCGAATCTGCCTTTGAAATTTGCAAAGCGATTCTCTGAACGGAGTTATGGAGCTTTTCCCTCCGCGTTTACCACGCAACAGGTCATGGGATCGGATCCCTGCTGAGCTTAACTTTTTTGCTTCCAGCGCAAACGTGGCAAAAAGTGGTTGTGGCGTCGCTTCTACATTAGCGCTCTCCTTGACTTGCCTGAAAAACAGTTTGCGTTCGCTTACTGGCGCGCTTAGTGCATCATGATCTAGGAGAATTTTAGGATGTACAGGTGCCCTTGGCGCGCAGTGCAGACGTTTTCGCGCTGAGCGAGTGCCATATTCGTATTTATGGGGGCGAACTACGCCTAGGTAGAGGTTTCTAGCCAAATCTGCCATTTTGACCTGACTTCGAAAAGTGAAGCATCCATGGGTTAGTTCAGTTGATGTTCACACCTATTCAGCTGCAGATACATTCTCCTGCACAAAGCCTCGTCTTGCCACTTCTTACGCATTCATGTTGTTACTGCTCCAGTTTTCCTGGTATCTAAAAGCAAATTCCGTCCAAAGACAAGCAATCGACAAGAGACTGGCCCTGGAACTATTGGTGACCATCATTCGATCAACTGCTACCGCACTTTTCAAAGTTAGGTCAAAACCTCACATCTGGCTAGAAACCTGTCCCCAAGGGTAGTTTTGCTCCCTGAACACGAATATGGCACCCATTTGGCGTTTGAGTGTTTTCTAGACTTAAAGACATTCCCCACAAAATGCAAAAGAAGTTCCTTCCCAGAAATTCTAGAAGCGACGCCACAACCACTTTTTGCCACGTTTGCGCTGGAAGCAAAAAAGTTAAGCTCAGCAGGGATCCGATCCCATGACCTGTTGCGTGGTAAACGCGGCTCCATAACTCCGTTCAGAGAATCGCTTTGCAAATTTGAAGGCAGATTCAAGATCAGCGTCCAAAACCACGTCTAGTGAGCTACATCTCATTACAAATGGCCACTTCGACCTGACGACCTTCCCTAGTTAGAACGTTCCCTGTTACATTCATGTTTCTTTTAAACTGCAAAGTCATTGCATAGGATATCACCCCACGTGAAGATGTGAAAACTCACCTCTGATGACCACTAAAATGATGATAGCGATGTAAGTGGCAAGGGTGGCAAAGCAGATGATATTGCCAGATAGCAGAAGTGCGTTGGAGACGTAAGGTGTGAGAGCTGAAAGGGGAGAAAGTGAAAGACCGCAAGAGAGTCCTGAAGGAAGAATTCTCAGACAAATACCACGTTGGAGGGATAGATGCGGTTGATGATTACCGTTGGAAAGAAATTTCCCAAACGCATTTGCAGTTTGGTGCCTAATGACTATAAGGAAGGCATAATGACCGAGCATGGTCAGGAAGGCGTAATGGCCGAGCACCGAGGCGGTGGCACCGCGGTACACTTACTCAAGGCACTTGTGAAAAAGGCGAAGAATACTCGACACCTGTGCAATAATGCATGTGACTAAGCGCTCAATCCTGCTTTCAATTACGCCTTAGAAACATCACAGCACTCTACGGAAGCAGGACGCCATGCATAAAAAGCATTTGAGCTTGGCACCCCGTTGACGATCGGAGGTCAGGTATGCAGCCACATTTACCGGCGTTCTTGAGCCCAGGTCCGGGCAAGTCATGCGTTTCAAGATAACCGCTGGTAAGAGCAATTACCGAATGGCTTCTTCGGGATTCCAAAGAACCCTTGGACGACAGCTTGAGTAACAGTCAGACTTTCTCGTGAAAGCTCTCAACGAATAGTTTGATGTAGTACCTCTCGAGCATAAGAATCAATTGGGCCACCCCGAGGCGTTGAAGAGACCAAAAGAAATATTACTAGCGCGAGCTCGAGCAAATCTGTGATCAGAGGAAGCACGGCTGATAAGGTGATAGCACAAGAGTATTCAAAAGTGTGACCTGTTATAGGATTGCAGAAAAGTACGACTTCATCATTCTGATCCATCCATCCCCACACAAAAAAAGACAGCGAGTATGCAGTACAAACAGAGAAAACAATGATAAGATACGATTTTGTTGGCCACAGGCGATACCTGAAAATAAACTCGTAATCCTCATGATATGCAACATAATTCAGAATGCATTGTGGAGTGTCTGGTAGAGGCGTGCCTACGTACTTACAATTCTGCACGCCGTCACCTCTTTCCATTGAAGGGTACCCGCCCCATGGTGCCTCGATTGCTGGAAACAACATTAAGGCTCCGAGCAGTAACTTTTTTTTACAAAGATGTACTCTATGAAAATCTATAGTTATTCTAGAAATGGAGTGCATTCTAATCAGTTTCCAGTTTCAAGTAGTATTTCGTATTACAGGCTGAATGTTCAGAAGTATTCACCACTAAAACTAATAAGTTATATTATATAAGTTTTGAAAGAGTGTACCTCACTGGAAGGACAAGGGCGATGAGGAGATCCAGCGATATCATTAGGAAGGTCATGCATTGTTGACACATCATAAAAATATAGAGCGCCAAAAATGAATGACATGTCCGTTTACTTGGTGAATACTCACAAAGAAGGAACACAGCGTTTATTGCCTCAGAAAGAAGACATATGATGTGATAAAAAGCGTTCATTCCAAGCAACATCCCTGAACCATGTTTCTGTTTCGATACCGAGAAAGCATAGTAAGCAACGTAACCCGTTACCTCCAACTACAGCCGATATCGCCGCAGTCCTGTGAGGCGGTGTCATGAGGCGTGGAATGAGCTCATCCGCGGCTGTGTTTTCTGCCAAAAGAGGGCATTTAAGAAAGGAAATGAAGGCTGGTAGAAAACACCCCGGATGTGCTCATTCCACGTCGGCATTGCTTCTGTCGACACTTTTTCCTGCAAGGTGAGGCTTACCTTTATAGGCACTGATTAGGTCAGGGTTGTTTGTGATCATAATGGACGATTTCACTGTCAAAAGCACGGTCTCTGACAGACGAAGGTATTTTCGAAACAACAAAAAGGTTCTCACAGATTTTATAACCTCGTCGGGGTATGTATACAAATCAAAGAATGCGAACAGCATCGGCTTGCAGTGTGGTTCTAGGATTCGCTGTAGGGTCACGAGCCTGTGTCGTGTCAACGTGTCCGAAGTGTCCCTCGTAATCGCGGTAAGAAATTTCTTTAAAAGAAATCTTCTCAGTGATCCCTTTCTCTAGTTGTAGGTTAAGTCATACTGGAGCCCTCTGAGAGTTTTCAGCAGAGTTAATAAAACATTGTCAGCAGCTTGTGCCTTAAATTAATAGGGCTCACATGTGCTTCTTTTTTCTGAATACTAGTGGAGTGAAGTCTTCGCAAATTGAGCATAAAATAAGCGAAAGAGTTAACACTCGCTAGATGAAGTTTTCCGGCTACAGCGTTGTTATATTGTCTACCGGCGCCTTGATCATAGGAAAAAATTGCACTTGTATATTGTTTTACCTGGCTTAGAGTGAGTAAATTCTTTTCGAAAAGTCGCCCAGAGCAGCTGAACATTCCCGAATACTCCTATGATATTGAAGAAGAATATCTCAAAGATGAGAAAGTACTTGCTGATCAACACACTGGTGTCGATCATTGACTCTGCAACGTTGGGATTCCAAACAGTGAACGATGTAGCGGAGTGAGGATTATTGAAAGTAATCCTTTTTTACGTCTGAGAGTGGATTTTGACGATATAAAAAACACAGGGCAACCAATAATTACGGCAACAAGATATGGTGATAATGGAAATGTGTGAAGCTAAAAAGAAACATGTGGCCACCAAAATATTCTGACCGAAGTATGACTAGCAGAACACAGTATTGCTCTTCGAAGTGGTCTTTGCCTGCAGCTACACTTCTCTGATTCGCCGACACGTCGACTACGCTCACATCTCAGTCTCTCAATTCGTCTCCTCTCTTGTTGTGAGTTGTGTGATCGTCACGCGGACATGATCGATTTGTCAGTTTGTGCATAATCGTTTTCAATAAATACAAGGCAACATCTGCAGGAACGAGCACAAGTTTCTGAGTTATCGGCCGCACCTAACAAAAATCCAGCGTGGCCACCTAGTCTACTGATTTCTATTATGGACCATTGCGAGATCTCCCGCATAAACACTTGGAGTAAAATGTATTTACAGCCCTTCTTCTTCTTCTTCAATGTTTGGAACACGAACACATTTGCCTCCAAACCGCAATCTGTCTCTTCAAACTGACATCAGATCAACCTCTAGCAGAATAGACCCAGATTTGCATTTACGGCCAGCAAAGGCTCTGCGAACTGAGCATTCACTCGAGTAGGTCAAAGGCAGGAAGGCTGACCCTCCGAAGTATGCAAGAATATTGTGGAGGTAGGTATATGCATCAAAAGCAGAAAAAGAGATGCCTTAAGGAGGGATGGGACAAATCCCGCTTATTCAAGCAGGAGGCCGAAACGCCACTATGGCGGTCAATGCAAGTGTGATTCACATTTTAAATGTCTTTTGTCACTTTTATCCCATCAGAGACCACAGCGTACAACACTACGTTGATCACCTTATCATGGAGGAGTGTTACGAATGCGGTCCTTTCATTCTTAGCCTAGAGGATCGGACACATTCTGTACCGACAATAAGGGCAACTCGCGAACGGTAAACGCTAGCTGTGGGACCTTGCAATCTCGTCTTTACTAGTAATAAGGCAAAAAATGTACCCATTTCGGAAATGCTTCGGAAGTAGGAAATGTTTCAAGAAATATGCTCACTCGCGACTCTCTAAAATTCGCAAATCGGTTAGTTGGAGAATTTCTCTATCTTACTGACGCTTACTTGACAGCCTGCACTGCACTAAAAAGTGCCCTATGAAAGCCTCTTATTACAGCCTCAACGTCGACATATAAAAAAATAAGGAGGCAAAGGTAGTAACAGGTCGCAGATCGCACATAGCTTTTCGGTTGCCGAAAGACAATAACAAAGCACAAAAATATGCAGAATAAAATGAGTGATGTGGTGAAAATTGTTCCTTCAGACGTTAAAACAAGCTGCTCTATGGATCCCCGCTGAATCCCACCATAATAAAGGATCCTAATAAAAAGACATCAGATGTGGCAGAACTGTCAGTGGGCGTTCTGCTAAACGAAGCTCAACGAAAAAGCCTCTTTGGGGGTACTTCCCGACAAGAGATACACTGCACTACAACCGCACACATCCACGGAAACCTTGAGTCATACGAATGAAACAAGGCCGTAGTGCCTATTTTGTCACAGATCTAATATTCGGATTCTGGCCTTTACCCCTTATAAAAACTATATTCCGCACCAAATAAGAATCAACAATAATAACACAATTAATGAACGGAATATCAACAGAACGCACGTCACATCCTACCATGTCTTCTAATCGTCAATGGAAACAAAATCGTTCTCTCCGTAAACACAACCCTTTTGAAAGCTTCCTGTTTTCACAGCAAATTGGGCTGACCTTATGAATAATTTGATTTATCACATCGAAGAGCTCGGTGTTTCTTTAGAGTTTAATACGTACTCGCAATGCAAATGCCGTCACTCAGCCAAACGAATAAACAGTAATTTTAAGGCAGCGATTGTTACTCGGGTCTCAGTTGCTTAAACTACCGAAGAGCGAACAGCCAATCTGATCGCCATGTATTGGTTCATCGACTGCAGAGAAAAGTCAGTGATTAGAGAAGTGATGAATTCATGTTACCGTTACTGTCATGTTAAGCACTATATGATTCACAGTAATGTTTCGTGAACACTTGTTTCAAAACCAGTCGGATCGCCCGAATAAGGCTGTGCTCCTTTTCTTCAGCTGGCCTGACTTCGCCAGGCGCGCTTCATAATGAAAGCGGAAGTTGTTCACTCACTGAGCTGCTCATATTGCCTTGTAATGAACGAATCGTAACAGACAGAGCAATTCTGCGGATGCTGCACTTCTGAGTACACGTATATATTTGGGGGTTGTGCTTTGGGCCATAACGCCCACACAACACATGGACCTGTAGACATAGATAGAAAGTACGTACA